TAATAATAACAATAAAATAACCAACAATCATCCCCCCCCCCCCAAAAAAAAAACAAAACAATAATAGCATAATAATAATAACTGGACGGCGCGTAGCAATAATCATAATAACTATAATAATAATAACAACAATTATAATAACTATAATAATAATAACAATAATAATAATAATAATGATAACAAAAATAACTGTCCGCGGCGACTGGGCAAGTACGAGGGGGTGGGAGGAGGGGGGGAGTGGGAGGAGGAGGAGTGGGAGGAGGGGAGTGTGTGTGGGTGGGGGGGGAGCTCAAGGAACGCCCATCAAGGCTTCCTCCTTCCTGCGAATGTCAAGGTTAACGGCGTGTTCCCGATCCGACGCCAGAGATCTAGTTCCAACTGGAGGGGGAGGTGGGGGGGTAGGGGAAGATAGGGGGAGGAAGGGGAGAAGTGGGGATGGGGATGGGAAGAGGGGGGAGGGGGAGAGGAAGTGAGGAGGGGGAGGTGGGGGAGAAAGGGAAAGGCAGGAGAGGAAGAGGAGAGACAGGGGAAGAGGGAGAGGCGGAAGGGGGAAGGGAAGGGGAGGAGGGAGGAGAAGAGGGGGAGGGGGACGGGGAAACGGAGAGGAATGGCGGAAAAAAACGGCGCTGGCGAACACGCATAGGGCGTCGGCCTCAACCCCCCATTCCGACACACGCGCCAAGGATCAAAGGAAAAAGTCGGCAAAACTTTCCGCATTCCGGCAAAAAGAGAGATAATGACATGGTAACGATGATAAAATAATAATAATAATTAATAATAATAATAATAATAATAATAAATAATAATAATAATAATAATAAATAATAATAAATAATAAAATAATAATAATAATAATAAATATATAATACATAATAATAATAATAATAATACTAATAACAACTAATAATGATGATGATAATGATTCTTATCCTCGCTCCAAGTAGAGAGAGACTTTACAAACACGTGTCAAACACTCAAAAACGTGATCGACAAACACTATGACTGGGAGAAGAGAGGGAGAGAGGGCGGAGGGAGAGGAGGGAGGGAGGGGAGAGGGAGGGAGGGAGGGAGAGGAGAGAGAGAGAGAGAGAGAGAGAGAGAGAGAGAGAGAGAGAGAGAGAGAGAGAGAGAGAGAGAGAGAGAGAGAGAGAGAGAGAGAGAGAGAGAGAGAGAGAGAGAGAGAGAGAGAGAGAGAGAGAGAGAGAAAGACAGAGAAGAGAGAGAGAGAGAGGGGAATGTAAACAACACAAAACGACCCGTCACGACAAGGAGAGAGAGAGGGGGGGAGGGGAGGGGAAGGAAGGGGAGAGGGCCAAAGGGCCAGCCACGTGACGAGGCCTCGCGCGCCTGACCTGACCTCCGTCCGCAGAGGCGCCCGCCAATCACGCCCGGCACGAACCGATTTCACGTCCTGCCGCCCGCCCACCAAAACAATCCGCCGGTTATCGGGCAGGGCGATCATGGCGCCGCGTGTGTTTTACATATTCCGTGAGACTAGACATGGCCGAGGGAAGCGAAGCGAAGAAGAGAAGCGAGGACAAAGGAGAGGTGAGAAGAGGAGAATAGAAAGAGAAGAGGAGAACAGAGAGAAGAGAAAAGAAAGTGAAGATGAGAAAAAAGAGAAGAGAAGAGGAAAGAGAAGAGAGAAAGGAAATAAAGAAAGAGAGATGAGAGAGAGAGAAGAGGAAAGATGAGAGAGATGAGAGAGAAGTGGAAAGAGAAGACGAGAGAGAAGAGGACAGCAGAGAGAGAGAGAGAGAGAGAGAGAGAGATTGCGCCAACCCTTTCAATATCACTCATCACTCACATACGGCCCACAGCACTTTCCAAATTAAAATACGGCATCATCAATCACATCCCTGCTTTCCCCTAAACAAGACGTACTACATATATATCCTGTACAACGGACAGACCGACAGACAGACCGACACACACACAGACACAGCCACAGACACACACACACACACACACACACTCAGCACACTCTCAATCCCCCCTCACACACTCACCCACACACCCCACCAACGCACAGCCCCATAGACACCCCACCCCCCACCATGCCCCCCTCGCCGCCCCGAAAAAGCCGCGCCAGATGAAAGCGCCGTCCCCAAAGCCATCGCCGAATCTCGACATCAGATCACAGGGGACATGGAATTCAATCCGGCGTCTTATTCCGATCGTGAGAGGCAGCACGGAGGGAGGGGAGGTCCGAGGGGAGGGGGGGGAGAAAGAAGGAGGGGAGGGAAAAGAGGAAAGAGAAGGAGAGGGAGGGAAGGAGAGGAAAGAGAAAGGAGAGAGAGGAAAGAAAGAGGGCAGGGAAGGCAAAGGAAAGGGACAGGAACGTCAAGGTATGAGATAAAAGTACTAACAGGAGGAAAAGCACAGGAGAGAGGGAACACAGCGAGGAGAAAGGACAGAAAGGGAGGGAAAAGAAGCATGGAGAAAAGAGAAGCGATAGGGGAATGGGGCAAGAAGAGGAGAACAGAGGGGAGATCAGACGAAAAGGGGAATATGGAAGGAGAGATCCCCTATCATTTTTTTTTTCTTTTTTAATACCGTTTCAATCCCACACACAGAAAGCCACCGCGGCTCTATGAGGGGAGGGGAGGGAGGGAGGGGGAGAGGGGAGGGGGTGCCAGGCCGGCGATGATGACCCCTGCCCTTCTGCGGCGTCCTGCTCGGGGCTTCTTCTCGCCGCCGCCACGATCCTTCGCCCCCCCCCCACTCCGCCCGATTACGTAGTTCTCGGGGGGGGGGTCATCATCAGCTGATTATCATGTGTCAATCTCATTCTTCCGGTGCCGCTGCTCGCTTTCCTCTTTCCCCCTTTTCTTTTCTTTTCTCGCATTTTCATTCCAGAGAGAATTCCAGAGGAAAGGAGAAGAAGAGAAGAGAAAAGAGAGAGAAAGAGAAAGAGAAGACAGAAATTAGAAAGAAAAACGAGTGGGAGAGCGACGGCGAAAGCGATAGCGAAAGAGAGAGAGAGAGACAAACACACCCAGAGAGAGACGGAGCTTCGTCGGCAAGGTACTGTGACCTTCTCGGCGAGCGCAATGGCACAGCCGCCGAGAGCCAAGCCAAGCCAGCGCCGCCAGAGCAAACCGTGGCTTGTCAGTCGACGCCGGTGGAAGGCTTCGCTCGTCAAGCCCGAACGTCAAGCCCTCTCCGCCACGGCACTCGCTGGCACTCGCCTTCTCTTCTGTCCATTTGGGCAAGGGGAGGGGGAGGAAGAGGAAGGAGGAAAAGGGAAGGGGAAGAGGGAGGAGGAGGAGGGGAAAGAGGGAGGGGGAAGGGGAGGAGGGAAGGAGAAAGAGGGAGGGGAGGGAATGAGGGAGGGGAGGGGAGGTGAGAATGAGGAAGAGGAGGTGAGGGGGGGGGAGGATGTGAATGGAGAAGGGGAGGGGAGATGGGGGAGGGGGTGAATGAAGAAGGGGAGGAGGGGGGTGGGTGGGAGTGGAAGAGGGGAGGGAGGGAGAGAGATGGAAAGGCAAAGACACACAGGGATAGGAAGAGGAAGGAAAAGTAAAAGGACTACAAACAAGAACGAGAAGAGAAAAAAAAGAATAACGGGGAGAAAAAAAAAAAAATACAGTACACATCAAAAAAGAAAAAAACCAAACAAATACCCACGCCCCTGCCCGCCACCGACCGAAGCCGCTATCCCATTCCCTGGCCGCGCCCGCAACGGCATCAGCTGATTCCCGAGTACGTCGAGAGTCCACCATACGCACGCAAGCACACACGCCCTCTCCTCTCACGCACTCCCTCCAAAATTACCATAAAACTAAAAAACAAACATACACATCTACATAGATTAACACCTGCACATGTCGTAAGTGCACTTATATATGCATATTTACCGCTATTTTTACCGTTGCAGACTCAGCATGAAACCAACACACGCTACAGAACTCTGACGTCAGCACCGTCGTTCGGCCTGGCCTAGCAAGGGGGCCTAAGGCTATGGCAACCCCGCAATTTACTCACTCAATTTCAACAATAACATTAAAAATAATGAAAAATACAGACAACAAACGCAGTACAGATTCTTTACTATTGCAATATACATAAACATGACCAGGATAAGGAACTGCGCCGAACTGACCAATATCCTAATTCGCAGATTAAAGGTCTTTATCCCCGGAAACATCGGAAGCGGTCGTGGAGCGGAAAATTACGAAATAAAACGAATAATAATCAAAAATTATGAAGTCAAATATATTTTTATAATAATAACAATAATAAAAAAAAATATAATAATAACTATAATTATAAAATAATCAATACAAATCATCATAACAAATAATAATGAAAATAACAACAATGATAATTAATACTAATAATAAGTTCCCCAAGATGCAAATGAAGACGCTTGCAGTGAGCGCAACGCATGCAACCTACATGTGCAACGGCATTTGCGCGTGTCAACAAAAAGGATAATCGCAGCTGGGATCTTGTCCCGCCTTGCCTAATAGTCATCCGAACCCGTTTGTGTGCTCGCTAATGACCCCGCCGCCAATTACTCTAATTGAGGCATTTATTTGGGTCGGAGTGAGCAGCGGGGAGGGAGGGAGGGAGGGAGGGGGGGGACGGGGGTTCACGTGATCAGATTGAAAGGCGAGCCGCGTCTTTGGCAACATTTCGGGGAACGTTTTGCAAGTGGCCGACAAAACGTTTGTTTACGTTGCCCGGATATATTCCCGGAAAAGACAGATGCCAAGTAGTAAACAGAACCAAACCAAACAAAATCAAATACGAACTGCAGTTTTAAGTGACATTATACATTTGATTTCAGTTTCTACCCCAAAAGAAAAAAAAAATCTGAGAATACACAGTATATATATAATACAAAAATACATGCTATGCTAAATCAAGAAAGAAAAAAAATAAAACACTTGAAATATCCATCACAGTGCGCAAGTCCTCTCTGTTTTTTTTACCACTCACACAAAAAGACACGCACACACAAAGTACAGAAAGTACACACAGACGCGTCTTACCTCCCACCGCGTCCAGCATACGGTAGAACCTGTACTCGAGGTGCAGCTGAGGCGCCTTTGCCTTGATTGGTTCCTGGAATAAAACAAAGAAAGTTAAACATTTTTATTTTTTTGGGGGTGCAGAAACACGTTCACACGCACAACCACTGTCACGCAGAATATGAGGTATATAATTATATTCTAAAATACACATACACATACAAATGTATATCTAAAACACACACAACACACCACACACACACACAACAAATAACATACCACTATATAAATTATATATATAAATATATATTATGTATATAATAAATGTATACATATAAATATAAGAGGCTAAAGGATGAAGTTAAGATTAGAATAATGACAATTACGACAAAAAAAAACAATAAGTGGTGCAAAAACCAGTGGCCTCGGCATGGAACAATCACTAAGACGACCAAATACAAACACGTCCACAAAAACCGAATAGATGATGATAACAAGCAACTGCAAGAACTCTCTCTCTAAAAAAAGAAGCGACAGCAACTCCGTCCATCAGATTAACTCATAACTCTGATATGAAACGCAATACCGTGGATCCAACACCATTAAAACGCAAATGAAGACGACTACGACGGCCCAAATCCCCCGAAAAATGCTTGTTACCCGATTCCCGCATCTTGCCTCTGAACCCCCACACCCCCACCCACCCCCGTCACCAGCAAAACCATCCCATTCCCTCGCATTCTAAAATCCAAATACAAACCTTAAAAGACTCTTAGACGCACAAAATCAAAGATACATAAATAAACATACGAAAAAAAAAAAAAAAAACACTCGACAAGCACTCGCCTTACGAAACACGAACACGCCACGCACGAACAGGCACAATTCGCACGCACACGCCCAATTCCGCAATAAAGGTAAACCGACGACTTCTTGGTAAGTGATGGTCCGGCAACCTCTTTTCATCCGGACACAGAAGAAAGGACGACGGCCAGATAAGGCTTTTTGGTCCCATCGAAGTCGTCGAATGAAAAGAAGTGGACGACTTTGTAAATTGGTGAACGATTATGGAATTCTGTTGTTCAATCGTCTGAAAATCAAGTTGGGAAAGGAGAAAGGGAATTGGAGAATCTCCGTCGAGATGGGAGTAAGTGGGAGTGGGAAAGGGGGGGAATGGGGAGGGGAAGGATGGAATGGAAGGGAGGTGGGAAATGGGAGAGGGGAGGTGGAGGGGAAAAGGGAGATGGGAGAGGGGGGAGGGAGGGGAAAGGGAGAAGGAGAGGAGAGGGAGTGGGAGGGGAAAGGGAAAGTGAGGAGGAGAGGGGAGAGGAGGGGAAGGGAGAATGGGAGGGAGGGGAAGGGAGTGGGAAGAGGGAGAATGGGAAAGGGGAGGGAATGGGAGAGGGGAAGAGAGTGGGGATGGGAGGGAGAAAGGGAGATAGGAGGGAGTGGGAGATAGGAGGGAGTGGGAGAGGGGAAGGGAGTGGGAGAATGGGAGGGAGTGGGAAGAGGGAGTGGGGGAGAGAGAGGAGAGAGAGAGAGAGAGAGAGAGAGAGAGAGAGAGAGAGAGAAGAGAGAGAGAGAGAGAGAGAGAGAGAGAGAAGAGAGGAGAGAAGGAGGAAGGGAGGAGAGAGACGGAGAAGAAAGAAGAAAAGAGATAAGGAGAGATAGATAAGAGTGTGTGTGCTTTATAAAGCACTCCGTACTCTCCTTGTATCACCTGGCCAATGGATTCTAAAACATTTCCTAGTCTCCTAATGATGCGAATCTCCACCAAAACTGTCTGTGTGTTTTCAAAAAGTTGCACGAAGCCTTAAAACGATTTCGCAAACCAGAAAGGCCAATGCCTCTCCACTTCTTTTTTTACAAAGGGACACACAAAATACCCCGATAAAACAGGCAATAATGATGCCGTACCTTTTAGAAGCGCGCACACCACAACAAATCAAAATGGAAAAAAATAAAAATAACGATACGTCCCCATAAGAGAACATTACACACTGGAACAAAACAAAATGGGAAAAAATATATGTAACGATACGTCCCCATAAGAGAACATTACACACTGGAACAAAACAAAATGGGAAAAAAATATATATATAACGATACGTCCCCATAAGACAACATTACACACTGGGGCATTCGGTCCTGAGAGACGACGAAAAAAAAAAAACGATGGCCTTGGTGTTCAGTGCATTTGCAGAGCTCCATCGATTCTGAGATGCCAAAGGCCCATTACCAAGGATCAAGGGAGTATTATTGATTATCATGTGACCTCCGTTGGTCCGGCAAGTCTTGGGACCAATACGGCCGGAAAATCGGTGGAGTACCCGGATATGTGGATGAACTGAATGGAATGGAATGGTGGAATGATGGATGGCTATCAATATGTATGAATGTGTATGTGTGTGAAATGTTTGAGTGTGCGTGCCTTCGTGTGTGAGTGTAAGTCCGCGTGTGTGTGTGTGTGTGTGTGTGTGTGTAAAAGTATATGTATATGTAAAATATAATGTATATTTTATATATATGTAATACATATATAAATATATATACATAGATATACATATATAAATATATATACATATATAACACACACACACACACACACACACACACACAACACACACACACACCACACACACACACACACACACACACATATATATATATATATATATATATATATATATATATATATATATAATATATATATATATATATATATACATATATATAAATCAAACATATAAATCACTTAAGTCTATCAATCCTAATCAAATGCGCCATCAAATTAGACTCATCCAGGCAAAACCATGAAAAACGCAGACAATTAGCAAAGCTTTCCATCATTCTTTATGATCAACCTCCCCCCCACCCCCCCACCTTTTCATTCATCATGCACGACACAAAAATAATCAATCGCTAATGACGTCACAAGTTCAATCCATCAACGACATCAGCTATCGTACCGGAGTACGGAGAGGAGAGACACGAAGATAGGAAAGATAGGGAGATAAAGAGAGGAAGGGTTCACAGCGGGGAGACGGTGGGAGGGAAAGAAAGACAAAGGCGGAAAGGAGAGAAAGGATAGAAGAGGAAGGGGGGGGGGGGGGGAAAGGAGAGGAAAGATGGAAGCCTACGAAGGAAAGGGGAGGGGAGGGAGGGAAGGGGAGGCGAGGAAAGAAGGATAAGAGGAGATATGGAGAATAGGATAGCGAGAACGAGCGAAAGGAAGGAAGGAGAGTACCAGAGGAGAAAGGGAGAGGAAAAAAAGGAGAAAGGAGAAAGAGAAAAAAGAGAGGGAAAGAGGGAAAGAAGGAGGGGAGAGAGGGAAAGAGAAGAGGGAGAGGGAAGAGGAAAGAGAGAGGAGAGGGAGAGGAGAGGAGAGGAGAGGGAGGGGAGAGGAGAGGGAGAGGGAGAGAGAGAAGAGAGAGAGAGAGAGAGAGAGAGAGAGAGAGAGAGAGAGAGGAGAGAGAGAGAGAGAGAGAGAGAGAGAGAGAGAGAGAGAGGAGGGGGGAGAGGAGGCCATGGTTGACATCACACGAGATTAGTGAAGCCTCCCACCCCCTTCCCCCTATACCCCATTCCATCACGCTGTCTCGCCGTCAGAAAACAAACAGATAAAAACGGGAGAGACGAAGAACCCCGAGAAAAAGGCAGAATGGAAAGTAAGACCAAAGAGAAAGGAAAGGAAGAGGAAAACAAGGGTGGTGGTGGGGGGGATATATAAAGGGAGAGAGGCTTATCGTCACACATCCCTCCCCCTTCCCACCCACCCTTCCCTATCCCCAAACCCCACCCCCGCCCACCGCCACCCTCCGCCCCAAGCACCAACGTTACCGTCGTCACGCCCGTAACATCACACCCATCCACACCCCCTCCCCACCCAACCCCCATCCAACCCCTCCCCCTCCCCGTCGCGCGATACCTCCTCACCCCCCCACCCCCACCCTCAACGCCCGAAAACCTCGCCCGCGCATTTTCTGGCGAACGGGACGCGCGCCCTTGTCCTCTTTTGGGCCGCGTTTGTTTGTTTGTTTCTTTGCTGCTTTTGTCTCCGCGCCGACAGCCGTGACGCCTGTCGGGAGGTACCGCTCGCCGGGGCGCCACGCAAGGGGAAAGGGGAGAGGAGGGAGAGGGAGGGAGGGTGAGGAGGGAGGGAGGAGGGAGGAGGGGGAGGGAGAGGGAGAGGGAGAGGGAGAGGGAGAGGGAGAGGAGAGGGAGAGAGAGAGAGGGAGAGGAGAGGGAGAGGAGAGAGGAGAGAGAGAGAGAGAGAGAGGAGAGAGAGAGAGTGAAGAGAGAGAAGAGAGAGAGAAGAGAGAGAAAGAGAGAGAGAGAGAGAAGGAAGAGGCAGGCCGTAGGCGAACGTTCAAGCAAAGAAAATACAAAGAAAACAAAGGAAAACCAAAAACCCTCTTACACAGTGGGTCTTAAAAAAGATCAAACGAAAAAAAAACAGAAAAAGAAAACAAAACAACAACGTCCATTCCAAATCATTCCTATAACTCCCAAAAAAAAGAATATCGCTTCTTAGAACAACAAACAAAAAAACACGCAAACAAAAAAGCTCTTCCAACTCATCATTCTCACCCACAAAACCCTCATAAATTGATCAGTTCATGCCGTCGCCGCGCAGCAAATCACGGGGGAGGGGAGAGGGGAGGAGGAGGGGAAGGGAAGGGAAGGAAGGAGGAGGAGGAGGAGGAGGAGGGAGGAGGAGGAGGAGGAGAGGGAGGAGGAGGAGAGGGAGGAGGAGGAAGAGGAGGAGGAGGAGGGGAGGAGGAGGAGAGGGAGGAGGAGAGAGGGAGGAGGAGAGGGAGGAGGAGGAGAGGAGAGGAGGAGAGGAGGAGGAGAGGGAGGAGAGGAGAGGAGGAGAGGAGGAGGAGAGGGAGGAGGAGGGGAGGAGGAGGAGGAGGAGGAGGAGGAGGAGGAGGAGGAGAGGAGGGGAAGGGAAGGGGAAGGACAGCTAGAAGGGGACAGGGAGGGTATGGGGACGTGGGGGGGGAGGAAATGGAGGATGGTGATGAGGGTCAACGAGAAGGGGAGAGGAAAGGGGGTGATAGGGGGACGGGGAGGAGGGATACAAGGAAGGGA